TCCAATAAACATTGGCAAAGGAAGCCTCTCAACAGGAGCTCCCTACATTGAGGAAATCACAGATCCAGCAAAAGAGTGGTTATTAATAAAAATGAATTTATAGCCATAGCTATCATTCTGGAGGCTGGAATATTGTGTCACTGAAAGTTACCTTTTAGTTCTGGTTGGTTTTATGAGGGCAAAGAAAAGGCTGTGAAAATCTCTTTTTGTGAAATCTCCAAGAATAGATTGGGGCAGCTACGTGGGGCAGTGGAGTCAGACCTGGAGTCAGAAAGAATTGAATTCAAGTACTGCCTCGAGTACTTACTAGCTGTGTGACTCTGGGCAAGTCACTTAACCACCATCTGCCTCAGTTTCCTCTACTGTAAAAGGGGGATAATAACACAGGGTTGCTACAAGGATCAATGAGATAGAAGGTGCTATCTAGATGCTTATACCGTTTCCCCCAATAAATCATTTTTTTCTTGTTCTCTTTGTTTATGATGGGGTTCCCTGGTTTGCAAAGAGGAACATTATAATACATTCTCACTCCTGCCCTGACTTTTGTACTATGGAGCCATCATTTGGGAAGAGCCATGGCAGCTATATCTGAAAGCTCCTGGGCTCCTTGGGCTGCCCTGAGGTTGCCTCTTTTGTGCCCTCAGCACTTAGCACAGTGTCTGGCACATGGAGGGGGGTGCTCAATAAATGTTTGTTGATTGATGCCAACTTTCATGCCCTTGTAGAAGTTACACTCTGTATACCATATATACTGTCTCAAAGTCTGGATAGGGAAGATACAATGTGACCTGTGCCTCTTCTCTGTCAGTCAGACCTAGCACTATAGTGACAGATCATTCTTCTCAATTTTCTAGTTAATGCAGAATGGATACCCGATTGTCATAGCACCTGAGGGGTGTGTGTGTGTGTGTGTGTGTGTGTGTGTGTGTGTGTGTGTGTGTGTGTGTGTGTGTGTGTGTGTAGTGGTTCAAGTGCTGGACATGGAATTGGAAAGATTTGGGTTCAAATCCTGCTTCTGATTATGCTGTGGAATAGCAGCTTAGGAACTGGCCTCTACATTCAATTGTTTTATTTGATTAAAGCTCAAATTTCCCTTCACCTAGTCTCCCCACTCTTGCCAATCCTATACCCTGCAGCCAAAATGATTTTCCTTAAGCACAGATCTGATTATGTCAGCCCCTACTCAATAGCTTCCAGAGGCTCCCTATTCCATTTAAAATCAAACACAAACTCTCCTGTTTAGTCTTTAAAGCCCTTCAAAACCTGTCCCCAATTTATCTTTCCAGCTTCATTGTATATTACTCTTCTTCTCATATGAAGTGATCCAGACTTCTCTCTATTGCTCACAGAAGACTCTCCATCTCCATGCCTTCCCTCTGACTCTCATGCCTGGAATGCACTCCCTTCTCACCTTGGACTCAGAAAATCCCTCTTTTCCTTCAGGAGGCAGCCTAAACACCACCTTCTAAATGAAGCCTTTCCTAATCTTTCCTCTGTGGCCAAAGAGTACCCCCTGAACTATTTTGTATTTAACTCCTTTGTACTCTCTTTAGATTTATTCTGTACATATTTATATGGAATTGTCTCCCCCATTAGAATGTAAGCTTCTTGTGAGCAGGGATTATTTCTGCACGTAGCACAGTGCCTGGTAGATGAGACAGACTAGCAGTCCCTACTCTCTGTCAGCTCCAGAAGTTGTATCCTGTCTCTGGAAGTTACTGTCTAATCCTATTTGGTGTTATTAGGGAAAAGAAAAAGTCCTGAAATCTCCAATGGTAGACCAAATAGGACAGGAAGGCAACCTTCAGAGACATTATACTCTAACCATCAGAAGACAGGTATAGGGACCTCTCATTTCACTGGTGAAAGGAATGATCAGACGAGTGGATACCTTCTACCAACACAGGTCAGCACCTACTCTGCAACTTATAGACTTAAAAGAGTTGCCTAATCCATGGAGAGGTTAAAGGACTTGCCCTGAATCACACAACCAATATGGGTCAAAGGTAGAACTTGAACCCAGTTCTCGGCTCTAAGGTCAGCTCTGGCAGTCTCTTTTGCCAGACATATGGTAGACCCTGAATAAATACTTGTTGATTGGCTGAATTTTTTTTTTTGGCAGATATTGCCAAGGCAACTCAGTACACTAGCGTGGGGACCATAAACTGGCCAATCACTTTCAGCTTCTTGGATCTTTGGTTTCCTGATCTGTAAAATGGGAATAATCATACCTGTAGTGTTTACCTTACAGGGTTGTTGTGAGCATGCAGTGAGATAATATATGGAAAATACTCTGCAAACTTTAAAGCCCTGGATAAATGTGAGTTCTTCTTTTTATTTTGTGACTCCTGATGGATTTTATAAAGTTATTTTGACATGAGCTTTGGTTATCCTTCCCTAAGTCCCTGCTAATGGCAAATTTAGCTCGAGTTCATTTCTTTCTACTAAAAAATGCATAATCTAGGCAAGCATTTTATATTGCCTAAGTGTCATTCTAGCCTTTGTTGAAGGCTTTATTTTTGCAGCTATAGCTAGTACCTGCAAATCTAGTGTTTTCCAATTTTAGTAACTAAAGTCAGTAATTTCTAGAAGATAAGAGTTCAGTTTTCTGGTCATTGCAATTTCCCCAGAACAAGGATAGAACATTGTAAATGATATCCTAGTTTTATTAGCTACCACTACTTGAGTATAGAATCTCTCTATCTATCCATCCATCCATCCATCTATCTATCTATCTATCTATCTATCTATCTATCTATCTATCTATCTATCCATCCATCCATCCATCTCTATCTATCTATTTCTATCCATCTATCTGTCCATCTATAGCCATCTCTCTCCATCTATCCAATTAGTTCTCTCTCTCTCTCTTTCTCTCTCTGAACCTCTCATCCCTTACTGACTTGGGAATTACTGCATTCTGGATAGTCACCACACCCCTCCTCCCTCAATCTATTTGTTTGTACTGTAAATTTATTTAGATATAATAGAAACCAGCTGTTAATTCCATAAGAAGAAAGATACTGGGAAAAACCTATTCATCAATCAATCCATTTTTGAGTTGCCTTGGTAACATCTGCCAAATTGGAAAAAAAAACCGAGTGGAAGACTTGAACTTTAAATATAAAAAAAACAATTGAATGCAGAGGCCATTCCCAATGTTGCTATGACATAGCACAATTGTATCACACAGGTTTATGGACCATAATACATGAAAGGATAAAGAAAAATTGAGCTTATTCAGAAAAAAAGAGTCCACACATTTATAAGAGGCAGAAATGACACAGTGGAACGTAAACTGTACTTGTAGGCAGAGTACCTAGGCTAAGATCCATGTCTATCTACTTATTTACTATATTGTGGCCCTGGACAAATTACTTCCCCTGAAGGTCTCAGTTTCTTCATTAGTCAAATGACGGAAATTGGACTAGATGAACTTTAAGGTCCATTTAATCTATAAATTCTATGATCCTACCTATTTAGAAAAACACCATAGATACCAATGTAGAATTTAGCCAGACTATTTTTAAAAACAGCCCTATGAGGAGAATCAAACTAAGGGGGACAAAAGACAAAAAAAAATTTCCAACATTTGTAACCTCAAGTGGCTTATATTCTATAAGGGGAGACATGCATGTATATAAATATATATAAAATACATAAATAAAAATAATTTGGGGGGAAAGGGGAAAATACTTTCCAAAATACCACACTTAAGAAAACAGTTATTAAGGAAAGTAAACTAACTCTGGGGCAGGTAGGTGGTACAGTGGATAGAGCACTGAGCCTGGAGTTAGGAAGACTCATTTTCTTGAGTTCAAATCTGGTTTCAGATACTTAGTAGCTGTGTGATCCTGGGCTTCACTTAACACTTAACCCTGTTTTCCTCAGTTTCCTCACCTGTAAAATGAGCCGGAGAAGGAAATGGAAAACCACTTCAGTATCTTTGCCAAGAAAATCCCAAATGGAGTCACAGTGTCAGACAGGACTGAAAAATGACTGAACAAAAATGAACTCTGAAGCCCATTGACTGTAAAACTCAATTTTTAAAGAATTGAGTTCTCTAGAGAATGGAACATAGACATAGAACTGCTCAAAGGCTACCCAATACAACCCTCTCATTTTACAGATGAGGAAACTGAGGCCCAGGGAGATAAGGTGACTCAGTGTCCCATAGGGATTAAGAATCAGAGGTGAGATGTGGACCAGCAGGTTTTCTGACTCTGGCCCTCGGATCACACGCTCATTCTTAGGAGCCCTGCTTTATTTAAACTGAACAGATAATCATATTTTGTCCTCCTGCTTCAGAAAAGAAGCAGAGATAATTCTCAAAAGGAAGAAAATTTGCCCTCTTGCCCTGCTTTACCTCTAACAAGGGCAAAGACCCTTATATTAAGAACATCAACAATCCACTGGGAGAAAGATGGCTTTGATGCACAGCAGAGGTCTCTCAAGAAGCCAGAAAAGCTACCGTTAAACATTCCATGAGCTGCCATCTTTCCAAATAAAACCTTGAAGATGCACTCTCTCTGTTACTCTTTTGAAAGGCCTAAAGTATTACAAATTAGGTAGTTAGTTGGTGTGTCTAATTGCTTTGTGGTTCTCATTTTTGTGTGGCAATCTAACACAAATACATGCTTTTATGTGGAGTGGTCTATTAGGTTACACAGCTGTTTTCATTGAATTTTATTATGCTCATAAAACTTTCATAACATTCATAAAAGTAATATTGTAAAAGAGTATTTTTCCACAGCCAGAAGCACGGGCAGTGGTCAAAAATGACAGATTCACCATTAAATGTGAAATGCCCCTTGACAGCTCCAAGATTAAATAACTTCACACCACTACTCATTTTTCATCCCTAAATGAGATAATGCCAATTTTTGTCATTTGTTCTCAATTTCTAAAGCTGCTTCCTTACAAATTTTCTTTTTACTTCACAGTCTCAATAACCTTGGATTAAGTGATACGCATACTATGGGCGCTAAATAAATACTCACCAAGTAAGTCTGAGGATCTTACATTTTCTTTCAGAAATGTAACAGACATAACAGAACTACCTAAAAAAGAAAATGATCGTTAATGGCAAACCTTATGACATTTATTCTACCAAAATCATTTGCCAAAAGAAGTACAGGCAGTTTCCAACTTAGAAAGGCCCAATTTATGAAATTTCCTTATAGATAAAATTAGCTATAACTAGGGTAGGGTGATCTGAGCTTTCCCTAGATTGGTTAAATTTAGTCCCATCCTGGGACAATTCTCCTCTTTCTGGTGGGCATCCCTTCCATCTGGGACCCCTACCTTCCCACTCCCAAAGGACATAGTCCTTCAACAATGTAGAAACTTTGGTGTGTAGGGCATACTTCCTTTCACGCTAAACAGCTGCAAGTTTCCCATCGATTCCCCCTACTCCCTTCTCCTCCTTCTCTTTCCCCACGTGCAAAAATTCCTAGTTATAACTGCTATGTTTAGCTAGGGACTCACCTCTGAGACTTCTAGAACTTTCTTTCTCTTCCTGCCCCTAATAGGAATACCCTGGAATCCTGTTCTTTGCCTTATGACGCTGGGGAAGCCTAAGATCCCTACCTCTACTTACCCTGCTGATGCTAGTAATGCACAGAACCTATTCCTTTTCCTACTTTCATGCCACACTCGGCCATCTCATTTCTGATCATATGACCAAGTATAAAAAAGAATAGGGGAAGACATATTCCTGGTGTCCCAAGCCAAAACTTGGAATGAGTTTCCCCATAAAATCAGTATTCCAAATGGGGTTATGTTCCATAGTACCATAGGTACTACATTTCAGCTATATTGTGGGTTCAGTGGGGCTTTGTGGATTGGTCAGGGACTCAAATACCATCTAGGACACTATTTTTATAGGAAAATGTGCTCCAAATTCCTAACTACTGAATTACTGTAACTTTTGTTATTATTTGGATACTACCTATACTAATACATGCCCAACAAATCCAGTGATTTTTCCTACAAGAGAGAAGCAGAGATATGGACAACCTAAAATGGTAGGTAATTTTTAAAAATTGTACTTAATTTTGGAATTTGTTTTTGTGTTTCCATTTGAATGGGCAGCTAGGTGATATAGTGGATAGAGTGCCAGGTCTGGAGTCAGGAAGACTCATCTTTCTGAGTTCAAATCTGGTCTCATACTCTTACTAACTGTGTGTCCCTGGGCAAGTCATTTTACCCTGTTTGCCTCAGTTCCTCATTTGTAAAATGAGCTGGAGAAAGCAATGGCAAACTATTCCAGTATCTGTGCCAAGAAAACCCCAAATGGGGTCATGAAAAGTCAGACAGGGCTGAAAATGACTAAACAACCATTCATTTGAATATGGATACATCAGGTGTGCTGGGAATTCCATTTGAGCAGAATAATGAACTTTGCAAAGCTCTGATTCAAAAGAAGCTGGGAACCTGTCCAGTTTTCTTTTATTTTGCCCACGTTTCAACTCCATTTTAAACATTGAGATAAGCAGAGCTGTCCTCTTATAAACCTTCCCTACAACAGGCTCCCTTAGAAATAGGTCTCTAACAAAGTAAAATAAACATGGGGAGTGAGAGATGTCAACAAAGGCAGGTTTTAATTGGAGGAGGTGTTAACTGTCAAACTTGAAAATGAGATTGGCTATGGACAAGCTGACTTGTGGCAAACTTTCTTGTTAAATTAAGAACCTCATAGTTCATAGATTGTTAGAGTTGGAAGGGAATTTAGAAATCCTCTCGGCCAGCTTGGATCAGGTATAAATTAAAACACTAAGGTTCTCTCTTGATTCTCTGTCTCTCTCTTCCTTCTCTCTCTTCTCTCCTCCCCTTCCTCTGTCTTTCTTCCCTTCTTTGTCTCTCTTCTCTTCTCTGTCTCTCTCCCCTCTCTCTGTCTCTTCCTCTTCTCTGTGTCTCCCTTATGTCTCTTTCTTCCTGTTGTTTCTCTCTTCTTTCTCTGTCACTCCTCTATCTCTCTCTCTTCTTCCTCTGACTCTTTCTTCCTTCTGTCCTTCTTTCTCTTCCTTTTCTGTTTCTCTCTTCCTTCTCTATCTCTCCTCCCTTCTCTGTCTCTCTCTTCCTCTTGTGCCTCTCTTCCTCTTCTGTCTCTCTCTTCCTCCTGTGCCTTTCTTCTGTCTTTTTCTTCTCCATCTCTTCCCTTACTCTGTCTCTCTCTTTCTCCTGTCTCTCTCTCCCTTCTCTCTCTCTTTTTCTGTATCTCTTCCTTCTCTGTATCTCTATCTATTTCTCCTCCCTCTTCCCCATATGCTCCAAACAGAACTTAAGATCTAATTTAATGCTACTATTTCCAATGGTTAGAAGTAAAAACCTCTAGTAAAGATCTCCTTTACTACTCACTATCCAAAATTATAGACTTTCAGAGTCATCTTCCAAGTGATACTCTACAACAGAATCAGCAAATGGTGAAGGAATTAAGTCTCTCTTCTTCTAAAGGTGGCCATTTTGCTTCTGGATAGTGTTCATCACTAGCAAGTTTTTTTTTCATTGGTAGAATGAAGGGGTCAGACTGACCAACTCTGAGAGCTCTTGTGGCTCTAAAGTTAGGGTTCTATGATCTGTTCTCCAAGACTGAACCTGAATTTGCCACTTTCCAACATCTACCCATTGGTCCCAGGAAGAACAAGCCTTACCCCTCTTCTGTGGATAGCTCATGCCTATCCCTGGAGGATGGAGGGCACAGAGTCTTCTCATTCAAGAGACAAGATGCTTATGGACTCGGGTTCATAAACATTCCCCAATTTGAAAGAAACAATAGCATCAGAGTCATAGATTTGGAAGAAACTTAGAGTCCCAGTATGTCCTCCCCTCTGTTAACATGTACAAAATAACAAATCCCAACAAGAAGGACGACGTTGTATTCACATAATTTTAGAATCAGAAGGGACATTGGAAATCACCACATTTGTTCCTTTTATTTTACATATGAGGAAACTGAGTCTCAAATGGGTTAACTGATTTCCTAAAGGTCACATTAATAGCAAGGCCAGGACTAGAATCCATGGTTCTAGGTTTCCTAGTCCAGTGCTCTTTTGAGTAGAAGAAATAAAAATTTAATTGCAGAAAGAAGAGAGAATGTTTTAAAAGTAGAGACAAAGTAAAAAGGACATAATCAAACAGTGTCACAAGCATAAAATATGACAGTTTAATATCAACTAACATTTACTTAAGGATTCAAGAGTATGTGGGAGCCAGGTGAGAACTGATTGTTAAATTTTCAGTGTGATATATAACCTATATCAAATTGCTTACTGTCTTACAGAGGCGGCAGGTGAGGGAGGAAGAGAATCTGGAACTAAAAAAAATTTAAAATGAATGTTAAAATTGTTTTTACATGCAATTGAGAAAAATAAAATGTTATTTAAAAATAAAATTTCAGTATGAGCATTTATACCTCAGAAATGGGCAAATGCTAGAAATCAAGGACTAATTTAATATTTTTTAATAATCTAGAAGTAAGAAAGTGATGGAGAAAATGTTAATAATGCAGATTAAATTAAAAATTATGGCATCTTGCTGTACTTCTCCCTCCCTCCTGCCCCTGAAAGCCAGTTGTTAAACATTCACCAGCACATTACTGACTAAGATACAAACTATCAGAGCTTAGGGAAAAAAATTAGCACCCCATCTAAAGTTTCCACTAATTGAATCAATCAATTAATCAACCAACTAGTATTTATTAAGCACTCACTATGTATCAGGCTCTATGCAAAGTGTTGGGGATACAAAAACAAAAATGAAATAGCCTTTCCCTTCAAGAAGTTTATATTTTATGAGGGAGAGTGTGTATACATATGAGTGTGTGTGTATGTGTGTGTGTGTGTACAAATATATATGTATGTATTATATATATATATATACATATATATATATATGCATATTTACAAAGTAAATACAAGGTAATTGGCATAGAGAATGCACTAACAACTGAGAAATCAGGAAAAGCTTTGTGATGGGCATGGTTTTGAGCTGAGCCTTGATGGAAAATAGGAATTCTAAAGGGTAGAGATAAGGAGAAAGCATACTTTAGGCATTAGGGCCAGGCTGTGAAAAGAAACTGACAGAATATATAAATGAATTTTTAAAAAGCATTTATGAAACCCTAACTGTGTATAAAACCCTGTGCTAAGTGCTAGGAATACAGTCTGTACTCTCAAGGTGCTCACATAGACAATACATAGGAGGATCTAGCTGAAGAGTAGGCAAAGGCCTGGTGGTCATTAGGGTTTAGGAGTGGGGCAAATGGAAAAATTCTAGTGAACTATCGGATACAGCAACAGGGCGGATGGAAACGCCCAGGCGTCTTGAGGGTATAATTGCATGCTATGTATTAAGGCCTTGTGGTACTAAGGGCATAGATCCAGGACAGATGGCAAGGATGGATGACAAGAATTAATGGTCCTTAGATTGGATGGGAAAGCCTAGTGGCTTCCATCTTACCAAAAGGATTGTAGTTTGTGACCCCTTCAGTGGTGTCAGATGGCCATGTCTCCCTTAAAATGGTGAAGTGGGTTAAAAGCCATGTCACTAACATTTGGGAAGGGGGAAGTGGGCCTGAGGGTTAGAGCAAGGTTGGAATGAGGCAAGGGTCAGCATCCAGTCAGAAGGAAGAAAGAGGAAAGGATCACTGGCAAGAAGGTTGGGAGGGAAGTGTTCCCCCATAGAGACTGCCTTTGCTGGGTCTTCTCTCACCCAGCAGGATCCGAGCAGTAGATGAGCTGGGGGAAGGTGAGGGAAGGTCATCTAACATTGGCTGTTTCAAATAGAAGGAAGAAACCAATATCTTGTTTGTTAAAAACTGTATTTTTTATTCTGAATTTAACAAATATTAAATAAAATAAATATTTGCACATACAAAATAGAAAAGAGAGAAAAAGAAGTTTAGGAATGTTCAAGAAATCTTGAATCTTTCTTGAAGATAGCTTGCTTTTCCTTTTAAGTATTTAACAATTTCAACATGGAACTTTCAAAGCTGTGCTTCATGACTATGCTTCCTTTTGGCTCTCTTTGTGATCTCATTTATGCATTTAAAAAATGCTTT